ACCTATGCAACTGTATTGCATGCTCTGCACATGTACCCCAAATCCTAAAATGCAATAAAAAAAAAAAAGAAAAAAAAATGAAGTGGAAAAAAAAAAAAAAGAATGATTTCCTGATGAAAGGAACACAGTCTTAAAGATACTTTGTGGATATGTTGACAACTCAAAACCACTAGAGAAATGGTTGTGGGGATGAAAATGAAGAAGATATGAAAGACACTGAAGTGTATGGTTTTCTTTGCATATAGCAAGAACTAAGAAAATGTGCATGAATGAAATGATTATTGAGTGAAAGAATTTAACAATTCCAGAGTTGTATAACCACCGTGGCTCTCACAAAGATGATTTTTTTTTTTAATTTAGCAGACTTTATCAAGGGTTTATGGAGATCAGGGTGATTACAGTAGAGTAATGCAGATAGTTCTAAATTTTGTACTGAATTTCATCAATTCCAGGACAGTGAGTTTAAAAAAACTCAGTGATGTTTTTTAAAAAACATATGAAGAAAAAAATATGATTCTAGCAAAGCCAAGAAACCTTGGCAAAGGAAGGAACAAGGAGTACTAAAGGCCATTTTGAGCTATATAAGACCAAAAAAAAGTCCTACTTTTCTTCAAACTCAAACATCAAGGTAAGAGATGTGAAGCACACATACACACACCACACCCACAAAAAAAAACCTAAAATTGAATTTGCTGCGTAGCATTATGTCATCTGCTATTCACAGATAGCTAGAAATTACATAAAAGTAAGAGTTTATTCAGTCATAAATGGCGAAAGTCTCAACATATCCTGATTAGACTGCAAGCAGATGGGTAAAATACTAAGATGCCAGTAAAATCTGTGACTTCAGCTTGTAGCTATCACTAGCTGACAGATACCATGTGAGTCACCAATAATTTTATAGAATCAGGCAATTCCCAAGTCCCAACTTCCTATCAGGTAAAAATGTACCAAAATTAGGAATATTTTACAATGCAATTTTATTACCTTATTGAAATCACCTTCTCTACACAATTATTCTGCTGGAAAAAAAATGTGTTAATGTTTTCATTACTGTGTTTCTGTTTATAATTCAGCAATTGTGATTTGTGTGAAGTATATCAATTTAGAAATTGTTTGATTCTTTCTTTAATGGCACTATCACATTATTTTTTATTTCTAGTAGATATTTGAAGTTGATATTTAGCTTTTAAATTGATTTAGAACAATCTCAACATGGTTTGCAAAGACTCTTGGGGTCCCACTTGACCCGGACAATTTGGAAAAATTTCCAAAATGCTAAAAATATGTAAAAATAAATCATATGAAATGGTAGTGAAAATGAACCAAGCTTTTTATTTTCCCTGTGGGAAATAACCTTAATTTTATGAGAAAATGTGTTGCTAGTGGTGCTTTAGGTAGTAGTTTCAGCATATATTTTTTAACGGGACTTTATGAGACATTGGAAGCTGGACGATAGTAAACTGGCCAGGTCAGTTTGAGCTCAGTAATCAGCTAGGCCTTACAAATAAATTACTTTTTCAATGTCAATGAAAACATCAGAGCTGCAACATCTTTTTGGTACCTATAGAGCATTTGACACAATCTTTTATTAGTGATGAATTTATCCAATAGCGTTAACTGCAATTTTTGGTCTTTTTCTTTTCAAATAAGAAATTTTGTTCATGGAAGCAGCAGGAACTAATTCCAGGCCAAGTGGGGTTTTCATTTTTATTGTGTGTGTGTCTCTGTGTAAATTTACTTCAGTTTTATTGTTAATTGCAGAAGTTAGGGTGATTTATTTTGTAAAATTTGTTTTTATTATTGTCGATACGATTCATACATTGCCTTTACTCAGAATCACAGGTGTACTTTAAGGCAGGGATCTGCGAACATTTGTTGAAAGGGTCCCAGAAAGTAAGTGTTTTAGTTTCTGCAGCCACATGTCTCTGCAGCAACTACTCAACTCTGCTGTTACTCTGCAAACACAGCTCTAAACGATACATAAACTGATGGATGAGGCTGTGTTCCCATAAGACTTCATTGATTACAAACATTCAGGGGACAGAATTGGGTCATAGTTTGCTGACCCCTGGTTGAAGGGATTGTCTTTTTGGAGAGGCAGGAGATAGATGTTCAAGGAGTTAAGAAACATCAAACTCTTACTGTCTATAATTCATTAGATTTTAGTGGCTCCAAAAATAAATATTACAACTTAATTAAGTGCTAGAGAAGCTCCTATTTACTTTTACTGGCTGCTTTTGTAATAAGTCATGTTTTGTTGACTGAATTCAATTCTATTCAATTTACATCTACTGAGTACCGATGCTATGACACTAAATTGGTAACAAGCATAATAAAAAGTGTTAAGTCCAGGTCCTCGGGCCTAGGTTTGGAGAGAAGATATTTCAGGTTTTTATATTAAAAATAGGCATTCAGATGATTTTCAATTTCCCCTTAACACATTAGCTTTTTATACATGGTGCTACACCCAACATGGCTACTGCCTGTCAGCTCAGGGGGAAGGAGACGTTGATATTGGCCTTCCCTGTGTTCGTATCCCAGCACGCTCACCTCAGAACTTTAGATGGCAGTGTTCCTTTTTGCTCTCTTTATTTTTACTTAAGAAATTCATTCAAAATCCTGGTGTACTCTGTCATATTATTTCACCCTGAGGTCAGGGAGAGTGTTGGGTTTCAGTTTCTCTATCTTTCTGTACTGAGTAAGCAGTCATTTTATTTCCCCTGGGGAGATAGCCTCTATAGCTATATGTATATACACTTTAAAGGAAAGAACAGTGCAATGATTCATATTCTTTCAGCCTGCCATTGTGACTCAATTCAAAAAAGTAATTATGTAGATTTTTTTTTTTTTTTTTTTGAGACGGAGTTTTGCTCTTGTTACCCAGGCTAGAGTGCAATGGCCCGATCTCGTCTCACCGCAACCTCTGCCTCCCGGGTTCAGGCAATTCTCCTGCCTCAGCCTCCCGAGTAGCTGGGACTACAGGCACACGCCACCATGCCCAGATAATTTTTGTATTTTTAGTAGAGACGGAGTTTCACCTTGTTGACCAGGATGGTCTCTATCTCTTGATCTCATGATCCACCCGCCTCGGCCTCCCAAAGTGCTGGGATTACATGCTTGAGCCACCTCGCCCGGCGGTAGATATTTTTAAAGTTTAAATGTTACCTTGAACATTCATGTTGCATTTTGTAAAATGTTGTTTTAGATTCAGGGGCCAGCTATGCAGGTTTGTCATGGGTGTATTGCATGTTGCTGAGGTTTGGGCTTCTCATGTTCCCATCACCCAGGTCTTGAACATAGTACCTCATAGATAGTTTTTCAACCTTTATCTCCCACCACCCTCTTCCACTTTAACAATCTCCCGTGTTTATTGTTTTATTGTTTCCATCTTTATGTCCCTGTGTACTCACTTTGGCTCCTACTTATAAGTGAGAACATGCAGTATTTGGTTTTCTGCTTCTGTGTTAATTCACTTGGGATACTGGTCTCCAGCTTCACCTGTATTTCTGCAAGAGACATGATTTCATTCTTTTTTTATAGCTGCATAGTATTGCATCGTGGAAATAGAAATTGCCACATTTTCTTTATGCAGTCCACCACTGATGGACACCTGGATTGATTCTATGTCTTTGCTATGGTGAATAGTGCTGCAGTAAACATATGAGTGTATGTGTTTAACAGATTTAGAGCAACATTTCTAATGAAATTTATTAGTAATGTCTAACTGCTGGTTACATCCTTCAGATTATTAAAGGGCTGAGATTTGAATTCACCAGGTAACATTATGAGAGACTTGTCTCATCGAAAGAGAAAAATAAATTAGTTTTTAAAATCTCAATATGAGATAAAATAATTTTAGACCACAAATCTGTGAAACTAGAATTCATAGTAGTTCAGAAACTAATTCAACTTAATTAATTGGCAGATGTATTTATTAGCATTTTTAAACAATAGGATTTTTTTAAACAATGATAATTATTGACAGTTTAGACCACTCGTTGTGACCAAATAGGTATGCATCTTCTTAAGAACATATCTGTAATATTTTCAAGCTAAGAATTCTTGTATTAACCTTATTCCTTTGTAATACCTTAAAATTTTTTCAGAATTTTTTCACATTGGTAAATACCATATTTAATAAATTATATGCCATGGTCTTATATTATCAAAGTAACATAGGAAAGTTTACCAAACTATAATATTCCTTCGAATACTTGAAACTCATAACTTTTATATATGGAAGCCCATAGAGAGTATCCTATTAAATAGATTAAGTTGGGGACATAGCACGATAGCAGTGCTGTTAAAATTGACTTCCGTGTATGAATGAAATGACAGTGCATTGTTGATACGCCTGTGTGTAATGCACAGCTTATTACATGATTTGAGTCCAGCAATGACCATACAAGTAAAAGTCAATTAATATTGGTCGATTATCCATTCTCCAAAAGGACCGGTGCTAGAAGTGTTTCCAGTTTCAATGTTGAGGTGAATATTTGCATATACATAATGAGATATCGTGGGTAAGACTAAAAGTGCGTTGGATTGGGAATTTTTTTTTAATTTGGCAATATTTGCACATACATAATGGGGTATCCTGGGGATGCAACCCAAGTCTAAACACAGTATTCATTTATGTTTCATCTATGCCTTGTACACATAGCTAAAGATAATTTTATTTTCCCTTTGAGGTGGTGAATAAACTTTGTGTTGTGCACCTATGTTTTGACTAAATGGAATTTTCCACTCACAGAATTATGTTGGTGCTCAAAAAGTTTTGAATTTTGGATTTTGGAGCATTTCAGATTTGGGGTTTTCAGATTAGGAATGCTCAGTCTATATTGATCATAGATTTGGTTCTAGCATCAAAGTTGGAGTGAAATGTCCATGTGTTCTAAATCTTAGGTTGTCAAATCTGGTATAAGCAAGGGTAGAAATAACACAGGCAAGAAATCTTCTCTGCGAGCTCTCATACTGGCTGCTGTGTCTTTCTGCAGAATCTGTCACTGCGAAGGGGATGAAGAGAGCCCCCTCATCACACCCTGCCGCTGTACTGGGACACTGCGCTTTGTCCACCAGTCCTGCCTCCACCAGTGGATAAAGAGCTCAGATACACGCTGCTGTGAGCTCTGCAAGTATGACTTCATAATGGAGACCAAGCTCAAACCCCTCCGGAAGGTACAATATCTGTAGGAATTGCTTTGGGAGGGACCATTTGCAAAGTAGACTTCTTTTTAGAAATCTATTTCCTCTGACAATAAGATTCTCCTAGTATGCTAATATCCATGAAGGGCACATATCTTATATTGGGCTCAGGACACAAAATTCATCTAAGCATTTGCAGATAATCCTTCCTGTCGTCTATGTTTTATATTCTAGAGCCTCTGAACGATATATTACTTCAATGCTTTTTTAAAAGTCAGTGCGTGCACACACACACACATATATATATATATATATGCAAAATGTGCTTGTAATTCAATGTAATTGAATTGATGAGAACTATGATAGTATTGTGCTCACTGAAGCCAATTCCCAAGAAGGTTACATGATACATTGCCTTAAACAACATGAACTCATCAAATTTCTTACAAGTTATTTATTAAGTAATAAAACAGTGATTTCTTCTACTAAATGTGTACTATTTATGTTTACTTTTATTTGGAATTGATTTAATGACTTGCTTGTAATTGCAGTAGGTAAAAATAAAAAGTATTATTTTCCATATTGTGCATCAATCTGTAAGAGAGAGATAAGTATATTTTGTATCTATAATGTTCGTCTTCAAATTCCTCATCTATGTTATAGTTTTCTAAAGAAGAAAGGTAAGACTGTGACTCAAATACAAAGTTAGGGTCTCACTCAAACCCAACGAAAAAAAACTTGTAAAGAATGCAAACAAGGACAATGAACTTTATATAATTCATGTTTGATAGCTGGACTCCTGGATTTTAAGGTGTAGATTATTTATCTTTTTGCCTAACTATAGCCTTACTTATATGGCTGCCTCAATTTCCAAGGGAGAGTATGAAGACCACAGATTAAACAAGGAATCATCCTAGAGCTGCTTTTTTATTTAAATTAAATGCAAAGCAAAACTCTTAGAACATTGCTTGGAAAGAAATGCAGTGGGTTCCAGAATGAGCAGAATTGAAATGCAAATGAGAATATTCTGGCACTTATCTGATTGCTGGCCAGCCATTGCAATTCTTCATTCATTCTGTAAATTGTGGAGAGCGAGAATCACATTCCTTGCTTTTGTGGTAGCCTCAATTTAAAAACCCGCCAATGGTTTATAGCCATCAAAAATCATGGCTAAAATTCCCTTAGGATATGTGTGGTCTTTTGTTAACACTGGGGTGACCTGAGTGCTGCGGGGTAACACTGTTTTTCTAGGGCCCAGGGTATCAATACCAGAAATAGAAGTGGACCCCAATTCCTTGCCTTTGCTTCATCTGCTGGACAGATGCTGAGTGCTGTTTGAGTAATGAAATGACACATTGTACTCCACGATTCTTTAAATTCCTTTTCTTATCCCTCAGAGAACTACAAATTATTTCCTAGAATCTACATATTTCTTCATTTTTTTCTCATGCTAGAATCACATAACATTTTCATTTCAACTTTGTTAAACACAGTATTTTAATCTGAGGGCCACAATCTACGATAATACTGCATTCTAACTTTCCCTTCTTTATCTATTACCACGACTCACTTTTTGTTTAATAAAAAAACGTGATGCTGAGAAGAAACTTGAAAAGTCCTTTTATTCTGCCCCCAGCTTTTGCAGCATCTAGTATCACCCTTTCAATACAACTTTCATCCTTCATTAATATTCCATTCCCAATAATTTACAACTCTCTCAGGAAATCTTATTTTTTTCCCAAACACACTGGCTTACAAACCAGAGAAAGGTAGCAAATGTATCTATCTTTTTAAATATTCATGATAATGGGCCATGGTAGTGGTTCACACCTGGAATCCCAGCACCTTGGGAGACTGAGGCAGGAGTATTCCTTGAGCCAAGAAGTTTGAGACCAACCTGGGCAACAAAGTGAAATCCTGTCTCTACAAAAAATTTTTTTTAAAAATTAACCTGGCATGGTAGCACACTTCTATAGTTCTAGCTAGTCAGGAGGCTGAGGCAGGAGAATCCCTTTAACGTAGGATTTCAAGGATGCAGTGTGCTGTGATCACACCACTGCACTCAAGCCTGGGTGATTGATAGAGTCACACCTTGTTTCCAAAATGTTAATAATCATAATAATAAATTTATCATAATGAATGTGTTGCAGCAACCTAGTGGGCACCTATGTACCTACTATCTGTTGATTAATATCCTAGTTTCTTCTAAAAAAAATCTTCTTTGATTAACTTGAATAATTAAATTGAATAATTTTCTTTGATTATTAATATATTAAGCATTAAGGAAGGACAGCATTTCAACATTATTTTTAATAGCACTTATATATGCATAGGAATGTCAGAATCTGATCCAGAGTTTGCTTCCCAAGCACCCACAAATGTGTTTTATTTGAGCCACGGGGCTTAAAATTATAACTTTAGTTACCAACATTTAAACATGTAATTATTTCATGTGCAATTCCACACATCTGAATTTGTCTGAAAAATCACAGCATCTGTCTTCACTGGAACCACATTCTCATATGACAACAATCGGTGGACCTAAGTGGTGTCTGGCCCCTTTAAAAAGCTACTTGCTTTCATATTCTTCACAGTTCTCACTCAGCCTTCCCTCTCTTTCTGATCTTGTACCATCTCCACTTATCTGTGTACCTCTGTGGCACTTGTGTAGGCATCTGAATCTTCAACTTCTTTTCTAACACATGAGTCTTAGACATGAGGAACGTGCATTCCATTCCTCCCTCCATGATGCATAGGCTTTAAAAACCTGGAGAAGGTATTCCAACATCTCACTTTCTCCTTTGAAAATATGAGGCACTGGAATAATACTTAAGAGGCAGTATCCATAGTGATGACTTTCTCAGTCATCAATCTGAGTCATCACATTCTGTGGTGATACAAACTATACAGATATGAAGCATTTTAGAACTGTTCTAGTGGGCTATTTTGATGGCACTAAGATTCATCAACAGTTTTCTTTTGGTGCTTTGTAAATAGTTACAGAGAATGCTAGGTATAGCATTTGGTTAAAATATATTTGAAGTACATCCAGTTAATTACTTTCAACTTGGTAATTCTATTACAGTTTAAAACATTCTAAAGACCAACCTGCATGAAACAATTTAGCTAATGTTGTTGAATTTCTGCCATTTTCCAATACAGGCAGGAGATTCTGTTTAGATGAAATGACTTCTTCATAGAAAGGTGCCAATCTTCATAGATAAAACTTGGGGCTTAATGGTTAGTTTCCAAAGATATTAGAAAATGTTACTTCATTAATTGCAAGTTCATCAATTGCATTATTACTCCACCAAAATCTAGTTAGTAAATTCATCAAGGTATCTTAATGTTTCCAGAAGACAATCTTTAAAGCGAAAATAAAATTAAGTACTTATTCGAGGAAAAGCAGTTTTCATCATCTTTAAGTCAGTAACTCAGCTAATTTTGTAACACCCAATAAAAGTGTCATTAATCTGCTAAATTACCCCAGGTCAGAAATAATTCTGAGGGTCCAGAAAAGTCAAAAACTCACACCTAAAGTAAGCACAGTGACTACTCAGTGCAATTGGGAGATGCACTCAGTATCAACTAGGAAGCATAATCGAATCTATTCTGAAGCTAAAGAATTTCATGGAGTTCAGATTTAAGCTGATCCTGACTGGGAAAAGCCAACTATTAAATATGAAACCAAGTTTATGAGGACAGCAAATACTACTGACAACTTTCTATCCCCCCTAAAATATTTTTTCTGTAATTTTCCCTACAGAAACTATTTGACAAAAGTACAATACAGGATATGTAACTCCATACATCTTTTTGTTCCTTATCTCATTTGCACAAAGAAAATAAGGTAATGAATAAGTTATCTTTGCTTTAGTAATGATTATGTTGAGCCGTATGCACTAACCATTTTGTAGATCAAAAACAGTTGAATATTGGAATGTTCATAAAATATAATTTCTGTGTAAATTATGTCAAATAAAGAGTAGTCATCTTGGTAGTTCTACATTTCAACTATCATGATTTACAGTGCTGTCACTGACATGCCTATTTTTAAAAATGAAGAACTGTCTTTAACAAACACTGTTAATTCCTTCCTTGCCTTAATTTGATGTAGCATTCATCTTTCAAAAGAGCCAAGCGTTAATGAGAGTTATCATAGAAGGTTAACTGCCCCAAATTTGTTATCGATTAGTTGATGATCTGAATGTCTTATCATTAATAGCCTTAAAATTAAACGGAGAAGGGGCTAAGTCCTGATTCCTAGCTAGGATATTCTTGCACCCTTTGAATAACATTGTCTATGACAAAAAAAATTCAAAATGCATCATTTTCTTACCATTAAGGGGAAATTGTTCTTTCGCTAATATGACCATCACATACTGAATTCCTTCTATGGGACAAATATTTAGCATACATCATTTAACTAATTCAATTTTCGTTACAACACCATTTTATGTAGACATATCAGGACCCTTTTGCAGATGAGAAAAATAAAATAAAATATCAAACTCACTCAATATCACACACCTCAAAGCTCCCTGATTCTAAAGCATGTGCTCATTGTACTGTGTCACTCCGCCACCAAATCGCTGAGAGACTCTCTCTTTAGGCATCACAACTTTAATTCTTACTTAAATCATTCCCGAAGGAAATCTTTCAAAACAAATAATTCTAAAACAAAAATTTTTCTGAACTCTTCTTTCCTAGACAAGAATATTTTACCCCAAATATTTTCCTAATAACTGAAATATATCATTGTATGCACAGCAATTATTTTTCAGGCTGAAAACATTAATGACTTCCATATCTTGAAATACATATAAGGCTGTTTCTCTTCATTGTGCTTACTACATCCTGCTATGTTTTGAAAGCCTTTCTATCTGAATTTGTTGTTTCTCTTTCTTCTCTGCTCCCAGAGCATCAGATATTGCTTCTGTTTTCCCAATAGTCCTTATTCAACATTTAACGTAGGTGCTTCTTTTTGCTTTAAATAACACCACCAAAAAATTTAGGGCTTATAAAAATGGGTC